TAGGATTTTCTAGCCAAGTCAAGTCATTTCTTTACAAAGTAAATTTAAAATGGGTAGAGGCTGAGTCAAATTGCTGTACAGCAGGAAGACATAAGAAAAAGGTGACCAAGTACGACAGGGAAAACAAAAACAACAAATGAAGCTCAGAAAAAAAGCAAATAAATTAAGATATAAATCATTAAAAAGCACAAAACATAAAACAAAGTACAATAGGAAAAACAAACAACAACACAACAGAATTGATAATTGAAAAAAAGTTAAAAAAAAGCAAAACTAAGATATATAAATAAACCCTCAAAGAGCAAAACACAAGCAAAAATAAATAAAATCAAAAGAAAAGTGCAAAAGTTAACAGAAAAAAGAATAAAAATAAAAAGACAAATTACAACAGCAAAGACTAGCAAAGCAAAAAATAAATAAATAAATAAACATCAGCAAAACAAATCAGATCCGTTGTTTAAAAATGTTTGGAATAAATAATCTTTCCTATGGTACTTTAGGGTCGGAATTTGTCATCAACAACATGAAACCATGGATCCATTCTGCCTTGTATCAACAGTTCAGGCTGCTGCTGTAGGTGATGTAATGGTGTGGGGGATATTTTCTTGTCACACTTTGGACCCATTAGTACCAATTGTGCATCGTTTCAACGCTACAGCCCACCTGAGTATGGTTGCTGACCATGTCCATCCCTTTATGACCACGGTGTACCCATCTTCTGATGGCTACTTCAAGCAGAATAACGTGCCATATCATAAAGCGCAAATCATCTCAGACTGGTTTCTTGTACTTATGAACATGACAACAAGTTCACTGTACTCAAATGGCTTCCATAGTCACCAGATCTCAATCCAATAAAGCACATTTGGGATGTGGTGGAACGGAAGATTCGCATCCTGGATGTGCAGCCGACAAATCTGCAGCAACTCCAAGAAGCTATCATGTCAATATGAACCAAAATCTCTGAGGAATATTTCCAGTACCTTGTTGAATCCATGCCACAAAGTATTAAGGCAGTTCTGAAGGCAAAAGGGAGTACAACTCGGTACTATTAAGGTGTACCCAATAAAATGGCCGGTGAATGTATATGGAGTATAGTGCGTGTGTGTGCATGAGGATGTGCAATATTTAATATGTATCAAAAATGCAAAATAGGCATCTCAATTCTCAGAACATAGTAAACATAGTAAGTATTTAGGCACACACACTATAATCTGCTGATTTACTCCACAGAACTCCATATAAAAGCCATAAACTATTTTGCACAGGCCTGTCTAAAGGGGTAATGCTGCCAACATATAATCAACATAAAATATTTGACATTTTACCTCTTCCCAACAGGGAAAACAACAACCAAGAATGCTTGATTATATGGTGGCAAGGCTTTGCAATCAAAAAATGTCATTATAACGGAACTCAATGGGGCAAAAACAGCCCCCAACATAACGAAAGGGTAGTACATTTGCAAAATAAGGGTTAAAATGAACTAAAAACATAAAATTATTAAGTTTTTTGGGACAACTAAATTGTTTTATGTTCAATTCACTTAAATTTGTAAAAACTTATAAGTAACTTAATTCCTTAATTCATGTTGTCCAAACAGAAATTGTGTAGAAGCTGACATCTTTACAATGCACCTAAACCAGGGGTTGCCCAAACTCGGTCCTGGAGGGCCGGTGTCCAGCATATTTTTGTTCCAACCCCAATTTAACACATCCAAACCAGCTAATCAAGCTCTTTCTGTGTATACTAAAACTTCCAGGCAAGTGTGTTGAACAAAGTTGGAGCTAAACTAAGCAGGACTCCGGCCCTTCAGGACCGAGTTTGGACACTTCTGACCTAAACAATAGCAATGTGTGCCAGCAAAATAAACATTTGTAATTATAGATTTCACAAATATCAGATTTGGCCTGAATTTAGTTCAAGCTAAGGGTGTCCACAGCCTAAACAAACACACACACACTTGGCTGCAGTGTTGTAAGGTAGAAACTCATTATACATTAAAATAAGCAACATCAAAATGTCCAGCAGTTTGAGCCTCTCGGGGGCTGAAAGATCACACACACATATTCAATCACATGTATGTACAACTACACCCACTCACGGATGAATATACACCTACAGACTCAAACACACATGCTGAGTGTCTTCCTTAAGGCGAGTGTTAGGTTCAGCCGTCTGTACATAACCCGGACCCTCTGATTTATATTCCTACCTCAAAGCCACGTTTGATTTATTTTGCATGAAAAGGATTTTGCGCTTTGTTGAAGGTTCACTTGCAGGACCAGAGGAGCAGAGTTTTCTTGTTGTTTTTTTGAGCGCATGAATGGACACGATGTAAGCAGCGACTGATTCTCATAAATCCAGATCAAGCGGTGTTGCGGAGCTGCCTCTTTTATGATTTTTCAGCACAATTGTTTGTACAGAATAACAGGGCATTTGAAGGGGAAACACTACTTTTAATCTCAACACTGGATGTTCTTTTCGTAAACTTAATGTGCAAAATGTTATGCTTATCTATTTAAAAACCTTTTTACATTTTAATAGAAGGCTTTTTTGTGCACGTTTATGAATCTACATTATGCACTACAAATCTTCACATATGCTGTGTAATGATGCTTTTTAGCCATGTTTAATGCCGGCGAGTTCAATTTAAAAAGCATTATACTTTGACTACTTAGTGGTGCAACTGGCCACTTTATTAGGCACAGGTACTGGAAGTATTCCTCAGAAATTTTGGTTCATATTGACATGATAGCATGATGCAGTTGCTGCTGATTTGTCGGCTGCACATCAATGATGCGAATCTCACGTTCCACCACATCCCAAAGGAGCTCTATTGGATTAAAATCTGGTGGCTGTGGAGGCCATTTGAGTAAAGTAAACTCATTGTTATGTTCAAGTGTCCAGTCTGAGATGATTCATGCTTTATGACACGGTGCATTATTCTGCTGGAAGTAGCCATCAGAGGATGCTGTGGTCAAAAAGCGATGTACATGGTTAGTAACAATACTCAGGAAGGCTGTGGCGTTGACACCATGCTCAATTGGTACCAATGGCCCCAAAGTGTGCCAAGAAAATATCCCTCGCACCATTACACTATCACCACCAGCCTGATTTGTTGATACAAGGCAGAGCGGATCCATGATTTCATCTTGTTGACATCAAATTCTGACCCTACCATCTGAATGTTGCAGCAGAAAATGAGGCTGCGTCCGAAACCGCCTACTACTCAGTAGGTACTGCATTTGAATTTAAACATACTACTCGGCCATTAGAAAAGTACGTTCTATACAGTATGAATGTGAAAAATATGAATGGAATTCGGACGTACTGCATCCGCCATTTTGTCATGGTCCTGCGTCAGTTGGGTCACTTTACTCCCATTCATGAATTCACTCGTGGGGCATCATAGGATAGTGCAGCATGTATGCGATGTGCACTCCAGAATCTCGACGGAAGTAGTAAGTCATTAGGGTACTTCTCGCATACTGATTTAAAATTCTATGAATTCTGATATACTACTCGGCTCGCATACTGATTTTAGCGTACTATATAGTATGGAAGTACAGGGTGTCAGATGCAGCCTGAGACTCATCTTCTATTGTCCAATTTTGATGAGAACTGTGCGAATTGTAGCCTTAGTTTCCCGTTTTTAACTGACAGGAGTGGCACCGGTGTGGTCTTCTGCTGCTGTAGCCCATCCGCCTAAAGCTTTGATGTGTTCCGCATTCAGAGATGCTCTTCTGTATAATTTGGCTTTAACGAGTGGTTATTTGAGTTACTGTAGCCTTTCTATCAGATCTAATGAGTCTAGCCATTCTCCTCTGACCTCTGGCATCAACAAGGCATTTGTTGAACTGCGCTCACTGGATATTTTCTCTTTTTCAGACCATTCCCTGTAAACCCCAGAGATGGTTGTGTAAAAATCCAGGTAGATCAGCGGTTTCTGAAAAACTCGAATACTGAAATACAGCCCGTCTGGCACCAACAACCATGCCACATTCAAAAGTCACTTCAATCACCTTTCTTCCCCATTATGATGCTCGGTTTGAGCTTCAGCAGTTTGTCTTGACCATGTCTACATGCCTAAATGTATTGAGTTGCTGCCATGTAATTGACTGATTAGAAATTTGCGTTAACAAAGAGTTTGACAAGTGTACCTAATAAAGTGGCCGGTGAGTGTAGAAGGCACTGCTTTTTTGCTCGGCAACTGATGATAAACAGTAAAATTTCCAAAAGAAAAAGCCAGCAACAGTCAAGATTGCATGATTATATGGTGTCATAGGTTTGCTATATAAAAAAATGTCATTATAATGCAAGTCAAAGAGACAAAAACAGCCCCCAACATAATGAAAGGGTAGTAAATTTGCACTGTGTGTATTGGGTGTATTGTAGGATTATTAAAAATGTTCAAAACATTTTCCCAAAATATGTGTCAAAATAAGATTTGTCACCAAAACTCACTTCATTTGATGAAACACCCCAGAGTGGATGAAAACCTCCCGAACAGCACACAAGGGTTAAACAATTAGTCTGAACAAGTCATCTTCAATCAAGGTTTGATCTTTGCTTTGTATTTGGGATAACCGATGAGGTCAGGTTGACGCTTCAGCAACAATATTCATAACCACGACCCTCTTACTGAACTACCCATCTTAATGAACTACCCATTACATAAGCTATTTAGAATATCCATGGTAACATCACTGGCGCACTTCTGAACTTTTTAGTTAACGTTTTGAAGGAACTCTTGTAATGGCTAAACATTTATACAGTATTACTATTTTTGGGTATCATCAAGTCATGCTAACAGCGAGAAACCTTAAAAGGAACCACCTGAATCATAAATAAAGGATTTCGTAGCTAAAACAAGATTTATCCATGCTCTAAACACAAAATGTGTTTCCAAATACACACATATAAATCAGCTGAATGTTGGTTTCTAGTCCAAACGCCAAGTTATTTTTGGTTGTCTGGAATGATACAGGATGACTTACTTTGGCTGCTCCGATCTGTTCTTTCCTGAATCTCTCCAACGGCGTGATTAGAACATCATCTGCGTTCTGTATCTGCAATAAAACACAGAAATATGATATTTCACGAGAAGACACTTTTCATTAAACTATATTAACTTCAGTGAAATTTTCATCTTCAATTAAAGTTGGAAGGTACACGCAGCAGAAACGCCAAAGGCTGAGAATTTTAACAAGCTTCATGTTACGAGCAAATTTGTGGTGTGAGTTTATATATTTCTGCAGCCGACTCGCGAGAATGTTCACACCAACACTTTAGAGGAGCAGCACTGATTAGTGTGACAGGATTTCATTCATCAGTGTTCATTTAATAAGAACTCCAGAGAAGCTCACTTCACCATTAAAATGAAGAAAATGACCAATAATACAGACACTGAGAATCTGAGAAGTAAAAAAAAAAAATTATGAAAATGCATTTTTTTGTTTTGCAACCTCAAATCAGAAAAAGTTGGGAGAGCAAGGAAAACGCAAATAAAAAAAAAATGAAACTAGGGATTAAATTTAGTTTGACTTAAAACAACAAACATTATTTAATATGTTCCTCATGATTTGTTAATAAAATAAAGACATATTACAATTTTGGTTCTTGCAACACATTATAAAAAAAGGTGGAACAGTAAAGCATTTAACACTTTATAATGTTGCTGTATTGAACAATCTGGCCATCTGGAAGGAGGAGGCGGAGAACCGGCAAACCTTTAAATAATTTTTAATGAGTAAATAAAATAAACAGACAGCAGCTCCTCACTGAAAATTCAATTCAATTCAATTCAATTCAGCTTTATTTGTATAGCGCTTTTACAATGTAGATTGTGTCAAAGCAGCTTCACATAAATGGTCATAGTAACTGGAACAGTGTAGTTCAGTTTTAAGTGTTTAAGTTCAGTTCAGTTTAGCTCGGTTCAGTGTGACTTAATCATTACTGAGATCTCAAACACTGAAGAGCAAATTCATCGATGCGTAGCTCTACCAATCCTGAACCATGCGAGCCAGTGGTGACAACAGAGAGGGGAAAACAAACTTCACCTGATGGCAGTGAAGAAAAAAAACCTTGAGAGAACCAGACTCAGTTGGGCACATCCATTTTAATTTCTCCGCTGGCCAAAAGTCTTGTGCAGAGCTTCAGTCACCGTGGTGGAAGCTGGAAGCTGGCCTCAGCGAAGACTCGACTTTCCCTGGAGCGTCGCTGGAATCAGACTCATGAAAACTGTCCTTAAACTGAAAGCAAAAGTAAAACAATATGTCCAGGCCTGGTCCTCTCTCTCCCAGCACTGGCAATCTCACTGACGCCACCCGCCTCGCATGCCCTCTCGGCTCTCAACCCCCCTCATTCGCTACATACCCCCCATCACCCCTTACAGGCTGGGGGCATCCCTTGTCAGCTCCTACTTCAGGGGCGTGGGTCCATGCTACAGGGCCAACAAAACCTGAGAATAAAAGGGCAGAGAGAAAGCAGCTGGATAGCTGAGGAGAGACTAAAGAGCGACAGAGAGAGGGGAGGAAAATTGGGGTTTGGTTCTCCAAATACGCTGCCACTCGGTCCTTCACCACCTGAGAGATCTGACGATGTGCTGGGAGCCTTGCGGAGAAATCTATTCACCCGTTTGTCTTCTGATGTCTTCTGGTGGATGGATGCAGGCTTCAGCATCATGGTGGACAGCGGTGTCTCCCACCAGGCTCTCTGGGACGGCTCCCTTCAGCTCTTTCCCTTCCGGTGGTGAGCCAAGCGTCCCCTGCTCCTTCACATGCTGGGAGATGGCAGCACAAAGACCCTTTCCTAGCCAGCCTTAGGCTGTTCCGGCTATTTGGGCAGACGAACGGGTTTCACCCCCATTTGGGTTAACTCCCAAACACTTGCCTTCCCTCTCAGCGGTGAGGGCAACTGGACAACGTGTCTCTCCTTCTGCCGAATTTCAGCACCACTGTAATTGGAAAGAAGAAGGCAGAGAACCGACAAACTTTTCAATAATTTTTAATGAGCAAATAAAAACAAACGGACTGCCATTAAACTGAAAGCAAATGTAAAACAATATGTCCGGGCCCGTTCCTCTCTCTCTATCAGCACTGGCGTCTCTTCTCCTTTTAGGTTCCAGGGCTCCACCGTGAGACTCGAGGCAGGTGACGCGTACAGGTGTCCCTGATTATCTAACTCACGCCACCCGCCTTGCATGCCCTCACAGCTCTTAGCCCCGCCTCACCCACCGCAGTTGCCATTCCTTTTTACAACACTTAAAAGTGTTTAGGGACCGAAGATACCAAGTGATGAAAAGGTGTAATTTTGTCAGTATTAATATTATCATTAAAGTAAATATATTCATAATAAATAGCCTCATTATTTACTTATTTATATGATTTATATATTATATTAGAATAGCGATAGCTTTGTACATGATTTTAGGTTTTAGAATAGATTATGTAATGTTCTCAACAATATTTATAAAGGAAGCATATTTAGCTCCTATAAGTGCCATATACATATATTAATATGGAAAACGAGTGCATTTGTTTTACCAAAACTAACACTGGATTTTTTTTAATGCGCGTGCGTGTACAACAACATAATTTGCATGAAGTAATGATGGGGTTCTTCTCTAAAGAAGTAGTTACTTCACCTTGTTTAGAGCATAATTATGGATGTTTTACATTATAACTAACATGGTTCAAATGATTGTCCTGCGACAGAGAAACTACGGTTTTTGGTAACACTTGTCACAATATCATTCTTATCCCAAATGATGCATCTTACTATGATAGTTTAGCTGCAAATTACGTCGTTGTTTGGGAAACGCGCCCCTGATCGGGTGTAGTCCTCTATGCAGATCTCTAGAGTACAGCTATATGTAAAGCATACAGCACCATCTGCTACATTAACATCTCAGAATGGATCTCACAAAGATTTTTTGAAAGATTTAATGAAACTGTTTATCTGAGCAATAAGGAAAAAAAAAAAGAAAATGACTTATTGTTTGAAACAGGTTATGAAACACACAGGTCATGTTGGAGCGGAGAGAAATATTACAATCATTGACCAGAATACATGTATGAGCTTCATATCCAGCCTGATCTCACGAGAAAACGTAAGTATTTTATGTTTTGGCAGTTTAGTGGCTAAGTTCAGTCGTACAAAATTGTACGATTTAAAAAAGCCAACAGTCATTGGGGCATGAGGAAATCATCCTAAAATCATATTTAAAATTTTTCTTTTCACTTTTAAAGCATTGGAAAATTCTGCCCCGGCCTATGTCAGTGAGCTTATTAGGCCAATAAGGCCATATACAGCTTTTAGACAGTTAAGATCCCATGACCAGTTTCTTTTGTCTGTCCCTCGGTCTCACTGCAAATCAAAAGGTGATCGAGCTTTCTGTATTGCGGCCCCAAAGCTCTGGAAGTCTTTCTCCTTCATTGGATGCTTTTAAATCTAACTTAAAGACTTATTTTTACTCTCTTGCCTTTGAGTGACACATGCATGTTATTTTTTATTATTTGTATTTTACTATTACTTTTAAACGTATTTCTTTGTATTTTTAATATAATTTTTTTTGGTTTTATTGTCTAGTTTATTTTATTGTAAAGCACTTTGGATCAACTGCGGTTGTGCAAAATTGTGCTCTATAAATAAAGTTTGCATTGCCTTGCCCTGCCTAAAATGTACGAATAAGATCGTACGAATTTGTACGAATTAGCCACTAAATGAAAAAGTAGCGAATTGCCGTGAGATTTATTGTCATATCTGCAGCTCGGCACTGAAATAAGCCATCGGAAAAAAAGCAGATGGAAATGCATAGTTTAAAACCGTTGTTGTCCTCTTAGATGTGTAAAGGGATTTTTATGGTATTGCTATTAAAGAACCATTAAATACGATTTCCGTGATCTGTGCTTGAAAGAATCGTTTATTCCTTAGTGTTTAGCAATCTTTATTCATACAATGTGAATCTGAGCAACAATGAAACAAGAAAATGTCAGAGCTGAGAAAAATATGACGATCAATGACCACCAGGAAAGTTCTACAGATAGGCAGCTCAAATATTTCTCTATATGTGCGTTTGCTGTGTGAATCATAGCGTACTCTCTAAAAGACCCTCACAGCAGGCTGACACACTCGGTCCAGTCTTGCGTAGATAACAGGAGACTTTGTCAGCTACAGCATCAGTCTGTGTGTTTGTTTGCGTGGATCATTGCAGACAATCTGCTTGGCTTTTCTGTGGGTGTTCACTCAGTCTCTGCAAGGATGTTGCTGGGTGGTTGATCTGGCTGTTGGCATGTTTTTAATGGCTGACAGGGCAATGCTAGGATGTTAGACAGTTGCTTGGGCATTTTGGGTTGTTACTGGGATGGTTGCTGGGTGCATTGCTGGGGTGTTGATATTAGGCAGTTAGAGAAATACTTTAGCAATGTTGTCAGGAGGCAGTGAATAGGTGCAAACTCATAGCTTTTCTCTAGCCTATTATATGTGAAAAATCATACCAGAGAGCCAAGTTCTGTAAAGTGTGGAGTACAGTGTACTGAAGGTGTGAGTTATCTTAAGAGCACATTCTATGGAGACTTTACTATGGCATGAGGCTAAAGCTTGATTGATACTTTCGCTTGGTGCCGCATCGCGCACCTCCGCTGACTGCATGCGCACCTCACGAAATGGACGAGGCTTTTATACTTGATGCGTTGGCCAATGCAACAGTCTTTAAAATGACAGGGGGCGGTCAAAAGAAACCCACCGAAAAATCTGACAGATGAACAAAGAAGTTGGAAGTTTATAGAAATAATCATTAATATCATTAAATATTTTAAAACTACTTTTTAAATTATTTTTTATAAATTATTTCAATGATTATAAAGATTTTATAACCATCCAATATTTTTTTTAAATCAAATCTTTGATGCATCACTTGCTTTTGTTTATATCTCTTACAGTTCCACCTTTTAAAGTTAATTAACATATCAATGACAACAGAACATTGTTACTTCATTTTAGTTTTGTAACTATTACATTGAAATCTTTTAATGGTGGAAAAACATAAATATCCTGTATTATTAAAACC